ATGCCTATATAAATCACCTATATAAATCACCTATATGGTGATTTATATGCTCTGTAGGTAGTCTGTGGGTAGTCCGCGCCATCTATTATTATTTTGAATTATTATTTCCGAGTGAACCCGAGGCTACCGGAAGTGAATTTCATTGGTCGATCGAAAAATCTGTCAAATATGGCCAAAAATATCGAAGTTACTCTGACTAGGATGAATTATTGCATGAAAACAAAGTTCTGAAACGGAAATAAAGTCTTCGGAAAGCGATATTGACAAACAGAAGGTCTGTACTTGATATTTTGGGTCGGATATACCCCCGTCACGCCCTCAGTGCTACTAGATTCACCTATCCAATGCCCACAACAAAAATTGCAACAATTTTTACAAGGGTGACTGCAGACGATAAACCCGCACCCTCAGATTAGCAAAGCGGAGTTTACGTCTGCATTTGCGGACTACCAGTACTACTACAACATAGTAGTACAAGTCTAAATGGGTCGAACTTTTTGTGTGCTTTGATTATGCAAATGATCGTGCAAATCAAGCCTAATGTACTGGCGATTTCACACAATATGTTCGTAATGTTTTCAATCAAATACTAACCCGAAAAACGGTCACTGACAACTCTGAAAAGATCGATCGTGTACGTAACACACCAGTGATTTTGATTGTAAACACTGCCTGCGGGCATGGAGTCAGCTGAGTCTGCTGTGTCTGCTGTGCCAGTTATACGACTTGACCCGTGACCCGGAACCAGTTAGGTGTATAGTCAGACATGCGCACTCGGAACCGTGATCTCGCTTATAGGTGCATGGCGGGGCAATCATTTGAAGTTTTGCTAAGCGTAAACAAACTACTTACTACGGTAGTATTATCAGTAATTTTGCTGCAATTTATCTCTACTTGCTAAACTCTAGCTGTGTATGTTACCAAGCTTTTACTGGCTTGCAGACTATCTGCTATGTGATGTATAACCGGAATGTATTATAAATTTCCCCGAATATTATTGCAATGATATATTGCCGTGTCATATGCCTAGATAGTGCTTTGTACCTTGAAACTTAGTACAATCGTATGATTTATGTCGATTCTACAACTCCGTTTATTTTTGTTAAAGGTGCTAGCCGCTTTTTGTACTAAATATATACATCCCTTATATATGTAATCTGGTCTTCTGTAGTCTGGTTACAAAAATATAAAAAAGGTTATATGGGACAGAATTATTCGGTCTAGGGGAGTAGGTAGCGTTGTGCAGAGAGTCATGCATGATCGAGAGTGGCATTCTACCGTCATCAACGCCGCTACACATTTATATATTGTTTATTAACGGCTACATATATGCTATAATATTATATATCAGAAAATATTCTCAGACCCCCCTGAACAGATATATCCCAGC